GCCCTGGGATTGCAGGACGTGCACACGCACAGTCCACGTGATGAGATTGGTTGAGCCTTGCTTCTCCTTGCTTCTCCTCCAGATTCGGGAGCTGGTCCCTGAGTCCCAGGCTTACATGGACCTCCTAGCGTTTGAGAGAAAACTGGATCAAACCATCATGCGGAAGCGGGTGGACATCCAGGAGGCTCTGAAGAGGCCCATGAAGGTGCCTTAGTTTGGGGGTAGGAAGAGGGCTCCGAGTCCCGTGCCCAGGATGGGGGAGCAGGGTGGCCTCGTGTGGGAGCACACAGCATTCGCTCTGTGCTACGCTCTATTTCTACAGCAAAAGCGGAAGCTGCGTCTTTATATCTCCAATACTTTTAACCCTGCGAAGCCCGATGCAGAGGATTCTGATGGCAGCATTGCCTCCTGGGAGCTGCGGGTGGAGGGGAAGCTCCTGGATGATGTACGTCCTGGCCCAGGTCTCTCCAGGTGTCCTGGGGTGGGTATGGGCTGAGCTGAGAACGGAAGTAGATGTTTGCACCAGGGACTAGCGGGTCAGCCCTGGCTGGGGTGGGTGGGCCTGGAGAGACATCTGGGTGTAGAGGACTGCATCTAACCGTGCTGCCCTGCCCGCTGCCAACTCAGCCCCATTCTGCCCTGCCCCCACGGTCCCTGTTCCTCTTCCACAGCCCAGCAAGCAGAAGCGGAAGTTCTCTTCCTTCTTCAAGAGTTTGGTCATTGAGCTGGACAAAGACCTTTATGGCCCTGACAACCACCTCGTTGAGGTAAGACTCAGATCCCTTCTGCCCTTGAATCACCATCTTCCCACAGGCCCACGTCCCTGAAGAATCTGCACAGATTTGGATCAGGGACCACCCTAGAGTCCTAGATGGGCCTACAGGGTGACCCAGCTCTTCTCCCCTGGACAGTGGCATCGGACACCCACAACCCAGGAGACAGATGGCTTCCAGGTGAAGAGGCCGGGGGACCTGAGTGTGCGCTGCACCCTGCTCCTCATGCTGGACTACCAGGTCTGTGCCTGCCCCCCACCCTGCAGACACCACACAAGGCCATCGAAGCAGGCCCAGGTCCCAAAGCTGTGCATCCTGAGAGACCCCCTTCTCCTTCCTACCCCATCCTTCCCCAGGAGCATGTTTCCAAGGAACCCAATTACCCCATGCCCCCCCGCCCCAGTTCCCAGCTACCTGGCCCTGAGCTCTTTCCCTTCCCTCCCTTTTATCTAATTCTCATGGTCACCTTTTCCCAGCCTCCCCAGTTCAAACTGGACCCCCGCCTGGCCCGGCTGCTTGGGTTGCATACACAGAGCCGCTCAGCCATCGTCCAGGCCCTGTGGCAGTATGTGAAGACCAACAGGCTGCAGGATTCCCACGACAAGGAATACATCAATGGGGACAAGTATTTCCAGCAGGTAACATCTCCTGAACCCAGAGATCTGGGGAACAGGCAGAGTTCTCCAGCAGGGGAAGTACCTCTCCTAAGGTAACTACCACCCCTCCCTTCCAGATTCCTGAGTTATCAGAAATGGTACACAGTCAGGGTCTCAGAGCCGAGAGACCATGGCTCAGCTCCAGGCTCTACCATGGATTAGCTTGGTGCTACAGCCAATCCATTTTAGCCTCCCTAAGTTAGGAACATCTGGAAGCCTACAAGGCCAACTGCTTTCCGGAATGTAAGATTCTTGGCACTTGGAGTTAGAATCCCTGGGTTCTACTCCTGGGTCTAGACTTTGGGTAAGTTACTCAGCTATTCTGAGCCTTGTTCCTTAACTTTGAAATGGAATGATAATAACCCTCCCACCTCATCTATGGGGCAGTTAGGAAAATCAAATGGTGTGGAAGTAATGTGGCAAAATTCTACCAAAGTAGAGAATGTTATCATTAATGCATTTTAAAATAAACACAGCAGAAAAACCTGAGGAGCAAAAATAGCAGTTGATATTTATTGAGCACTTACCATGTGCCGGGCACTGTTCCAAGTACTTTATATGTATTAATTCACTGAATTCTCATGACAACCCTGTGAGATATATATTATTATTATCCCCATTCTAGGGATGAAGTCACTGAGGCCTGAGGTGTTAAGTAACTTGCTCAAGGTTGCATAGTAAGTGGTGGAGGCAGGACTGATACTCAGGCAGGCAGACCCAGGGCACACACGCTCAACCACTGTCCTACACTGAGCCCCCTGCCTGTTCAGCCATGCCAGTGACTCTACCAGCCCACACCAATGAGCACTGAAGAATCAGACTTGCTCTCAGCTTCTCGTGGCCTTTCCAGAATGGAAGGATCTAAAACTGTAGTTACGATCTCTTCAAGCACAGAAGAGTGATCTCTCTTTCTCCAACTGTCTTGCTTCAGATATTTGATTGTCCGCGACTGAAGTTTTCTGAGATTCCCCAGCGCCTCACAGCCCTACTATTACCTCCTGACCCGATTGTCATCAACCATGTCATCAGGTGAGGTGGCTCCAGCTTGCTCCTCATTCCTGCCTTCTTTGCCCTCCATCTCTTCCCATGCCCATCTCCCTCCCTCCCTGTTGGATCTGCCCCAGCCCTGGGGCCCTTGGCTTCTGTGGGGGCATCATGGACACCAAGGGCTGGACTTCCTTGGCAGTGTGGACCCATCAGACCAGAAGAAGACAGCGTGCTACGACATTGACGTGGAGGTAGAGGAGCCATTGAAGGGGCAGATGAGCAGCTTCCTCCTGTCCACGGCCAACCAGCAGGAGATCAGTGCTCTGGACAGTAAGGTGGGGCCCGAGCCCAGAGCTGGAGTGGGACATTAATCCAGAGATGACAGAAGAGACTTAGAACAGACCAGAGCGAGGGCCTATGGGGAGATAAGAGGAACTCCATGCTGCTTGGAGTTCAGCCTCATCCCAAGTTCGGTTTTGCCCATCTCCTTCCCTGGGACCTTAGAGGGACTGCCCTTCAGAGAAGTAGCCCCTCCTCCCTCCACTGCCCTCCCTCCTCTCCCACATCGGCACGGCCAGGTGGAAAGTGTCTGTCTTTCTACCTGTAGATCCATGAGACGATTGAGTCCATAAACCAGCTCAAGATCCAGAGGGACTTCATGCTAAGCTTCTCCAGAGACCCCAAAGGCTATGTCCAAGACCTGCTCCGCTCCCAGAGCCGGGATCTCAAGGTGCAGAGGGAGACTCGGGGAGTACTGGAGTGGAAGACAAGCACATGGGGAGAGACAGTAAACATCATACACCAGGGGCAGGTGAGGGGCTCACGCCTCACGGCTCGGGGCTGACCTCATGCTCCCTCCCAGGTGATGACAGATGTAGCTGGCAACCCTGAAGAAGAGCGCCGGGCTGAGTTCTACCACCAGCCCTGGTCACAGGAAGCCGTCAGCCGCTACTTCTACTGCAAGGTATGGCGGGGCCCGCCTTGAGGCTTCCTCTTCCTCCACTCCAAGAGCACCTCTCTTCTCAGCTTGTCTGTGATGGCCTTGCTACTCCCCACAGTGAAACATCACCACGCCACCTCACCATGCAGTGGCCCTCCCTGCTCCCAGATGCTTTTCCAGGGCAGGGGTGTCGGAGGGTGGGTTGTCCTTATCACTCACCAGGAACACTGTCACCCTGCTCCTGCTCTCACTTCCTCTAAAGATCCAACAGCGCAGGCAGGAGCTGGAGCAGTCGCTGGTTGTGCGCAACACCTAGGAGCCCCGTGAGCGAGCACCACTACGGACCTTCCGGCCACGCCCTGTGCCCCCAGTGCTCTGCCCTGGGTGCTGGCATCACTCCCCTGCCACCTTGTGGGGGGGGGCTGGATTAAAGGTCATTGTCTGACAACAGCCGTGTGGTCATTGGAAACTGTGGAGGAGAGAGGAAGGAGGGAGAAGGGAGGGGGAGGCAGTAGACAAATCCCCACACCCCTCCCTTGGATTCTTCTCCTTACTCCATTTTCCTAAAAACAATTTGGCAGAAGACACTTTTAATAACATTTTCTTATTAAAAAAAAAAATACAGCGACGAGCCCTCCATCTGTCCACCAGCTTGCCCTGCCATCCCAGGGCTAAGGCAGACAAGACAAGTGCAAAGAGCTGGGCCTCAGGGCACTAGGTGCTGTTGGCCTGCTCCTGCTCAAACAGTGCCATGGCCAGCTGGGCGCGGCCCCCCAGCCCCTCCAGGTTGCTAAGGCGGCAGCGGTGGTAGAGTTCCTCGCTGAGCCGTGGGCTGCAGTCCCGCAGGGCGAACTTCTGCACCAGCCCTGGCTCTACGGCCCGAAAGAGGTGGAGCCCTGAGAACCGGAGGAAAACATCCATCACCTCCAGCCCCTCCAGGGCTTCCTCCTCTTCCTGGCCTGCCAGTTCACTAGCCAGCCGGGCTCGGGCCGCCAGGTAGTCAGCGTTGTAGAAGCAGCCCTCTGCAGAAGCCTGCCGGTCAAATCTGCCCCCTACAGTAGCCCCCCGGGAAGGGTCAGCACCAGGGGGGGACGGGGGGTCAGGGCCAGACCCTGGGGGCCCTGGGGGTGACCTTTGTGGTGACAAGGCAGGGTTGAACTCCTGGAAATGGACCGGAAAGAAGGCCTGCCAGCCGGAGATGGCATTCATGCGGCAGCGGTTGAGGACTTCTGGCCCAGGCCTTGTCCACACGGTGGTAAGGAAGAAGAGAGTGTCCACGGGGTGCTTCTTAGAGATCACGTCCATGAGTCGCACCTGGGAAGGGGCCTCCGCTCGCACAGCGAGCCAGGCCAGCCTTGTTCCAGGGTACCGCCGCTCTAACTCAGCTGCTGCAACCTTCACTTGAAGAAATGGGTCCAGGGCCCCGCGGCCACCTTCCCGTGGCCCATAGACCAGTAACAGGGTGAGCAACGCATGTTCTCGTGGTTCCAGAACACTGGCTGCAAAGGCCTCCAGGAAAGCTGGGGCCGCAGCAGCTTCAGCCACCAGGAGCGGCAGCACCAGCTGTACTCGGGTGGCCTCAGTGACATAGGGCATAGGTAAGATTTCCACCCGGCTCAGTGGCCGCAGCAGGCTGACCCTGCGGGCCAGAACCCGCCGGTGCCCACGCTGAGTCACTGCTTCCAGCAACAAGTCCAGGGTGTACTCCATGCCCCGTGCTGGATCGAAGCGCCGGTAGCCATTGAGCAGCCGCTGCTTCTGGAAGCGCAGACGGGGCTGGTAGCGCTGATTGAGCTGCTCCAGAGCAGTCTCCACGGCGTCACCTATATCCACCCTGCTAGCCCCCTGCAGTGGGCACTTGGGAGCCCCATCTGCACAGGAGAAGGTGTGCTGCTCTGTGAAGTAGTCCCAGCCCAGCACCTCAAAGCGAGAGTGTGGGGTAAAAGGAGCCGGGAGCCCAATGGGCCAGCTCAGGCCTGCCTCCCCCTCCGGAGTCAGCACCGTCAGGTTCCGGATCTGAGCCTAGGTTGGAGGGAACACACCTTACATTAGTGCCAGCTCTAGGATCCTACCCAGCTCCTGCTGCCCAGCTCTGAGATTCAAGCAGCTGAACTCTGTCACCACCTAGCAAGGGGCCCTATGGCCAATAATTCAACCCCTGGTACATTATATTCTTCACTTGTAAACTGCAGAAGCAACATGACTCATCCCCACCCTAAATAACTGCTGTGAGAAGGTGGAAAAGGTACTTTTGCCCAGGTAAAAGTAATATAAAGCTCGACAATCTCTCTCCCATACCCAAAGGACTCATATCATCTTCATAATCAGACTTGTTTTAGTCTATACTCCACCTCTGATGCCCTCCACATTCTGCTAGAAAGTTCTTCTACCTCCTACCCTTGAGCTTTCTTAGGACAATTCTAGATGTTCAGGAATTTCTGGGGGTTTGCCTCCTTGATGGAGAATATGATTGGAGAGGAGCTACTACTATTCAGTCTGAACACTGTACCTAACTTCCTGATCTTCAGAGTTCACCTGCAAACCCCTTTAACTGCATTCAAGTTGTTCCAGGAGCTTACCTTATGATTGCCCTGGACCCTCAAGGATGCTTGTCCTTGTAATTGTTTTAAATTTGGGTAGGGTCAGTTTCTTCCTACTCCACCATTATACAGAGCCTGGCCTAGTCCTCTCCCTCACTTGGCTGCTTGGTCTTTGTAAGCCTGGACAGCTCAGGCTCCTCTGACCCTGCAACCATGGTCCTCTGGCCCACCTGCTCTTCTTTAGCTCACCTGCAGTTGCTCTATTTCACGGTAAGCCCACTCCAACTCAAGAGCACTGAAGCGCTTGTGGAGCCGGTACATGAGGGTTCCCTCGGTGACAGGGTGCACAGCAAAGGCACTGAGGAAAGCCGAGCTCCCCTCCTTCTCGGGGTCCCAATTTTTGGCCAGTTCAAATGAGCGATACTGCTGCCCCTAGAAGGACCAATCAGACCAGTCAATGCCACACACATGGCTGCCTGTCCCACACCGCTCTTAACCACACTCAGCGTTCACAGTTGTTACTGCTGAGGACAGAAGGAGCTCTTTCTAGCGTCTCTCTCAACCTTGGATCTTCCTTTCACTGCTGCATTTTGGAAAGAAGGCAAATGGGCAACTAAGGACACCCTCTTACCCCACAGAATCCCACTGTTCCTCAAAGGAATGAAAGCCACAAGCCAGAAAATCCACCCAATACTCTGGCTTGGGAGAATGGGCCGCCTCTGGGATTTTCCACCCTCTCTAGTACAACAAACAGGATGCTCTCTGGGCTAGAAAAGTGATCACCTCACTTTTCTGGGGAGTGGCCATCTCTGGGACAGTCCCACATTGTCCATAAATGTGATGAGATATGTCCGGGGAGAGGCAAGGAGGCAGATGGGGAGGAGGACTGGCGAATAGGGGCCAGACCTCGGGGATCCCTGACAAGACACCACTTCCGATAGCCCCAGGGTTCTAAGATTGCCAAGGGTGAGCAAGAGACTGCCAGAGGGGCAGGCTGGTGCCTGGAAAGGGCAAAACGATGGCCTCCGAGGTGCCACTGGGAAGGGGCAGGCAGCCCCAGCCTGGAAGCCAATCACTCAATCACAACTAACTTGTCTGGGACTGGAACTGACTTGAAAGAGCTGTCACCTGGTGCTGCGAGACACAGCCGATGCCCAGAGAGTCAATGAGGCAGCGGCCAAGCCACTCGTCAGGACGGGCACTGAGAATGTCTCCTCGGCAGCCATCCAGGTGTGGCCGCAAGCGAAGCAGGAGACTCCGTGACAACAGGTAGCCAAAGCCCCCATGACAGTACCGGGCCTGCTCGCCTGAACCAATGAACTCTTCTGCCCGGCCCAAGTATAGGTCCTGGTTGATGCTGAGGTGACCAGCAAGGGCTGCCAGGCGGGGGGCCTGCACATATGTGTCATCCTGCATGATGAAGAACCAGTCGTAGTCGGCCCCAAAGTGCGTGTGGAGGTGGCGCAGGGTTTCAGACATGAGCCAGGCTGGCCGCTCATCCCCATGAGACACCACCTGCATCCCGGCTGGGGCCCGGGCTCCTCGCTGCCCGGTGAAGTAGAGCAACCGAGGGAAGTGGTGGGCTACTGTACGGTTCACTGCCACGGCCAGAGTGGACAGCGTGGCTCGGGAAGTCAGGACAGCCACCAGCAACCGCTCACGAGAGCCCAGCTCTGTCTGGATGTACCGAGTCCTGTGGAGAGACCAGTGTGCCAGGAGTCAACTCCACCCAGCTTGTCCAGCATATACATCCCCTTAGGAATGTGTGAGTTGGGGTTGAAAAAAGAGAAGGAAGAGATTTCCTTCCTCATCAATACTAATTAACTACCAGAGCGAGTATCCACTGAGTAGCTGACACTGAAATTGATTTGGTGGGGAAGGGATCCACTAAGGATGGATTAGATGGGTTAGTACAATTCCAGCCCTGTTCAAGAATGATGAACAACACCACAAAAAATAAAGATAAAAAAAGAAAAAAAATAAATTTCTAAAGGAACATTGAACACTAACACCACAAATAGGTGAGACTTTCTCAGATTTGAAAAAGAGGTAAAAAATAGGAACCAACCATGACGGAAAATAAGACAAAGAATTGCCCCACTGATTGCCAGTGGGAAGGCAGAGACAAAAACCTGGAGCAGCCCTATGCACACTATCGAGCTCTCACCTGAGCACTTTCTTGTAGGGCTTGTTGGGATCCCTGTAGTAGGGCACAATCCGGGGTTTGAAGTCTTCATCACTTTGGTCCAGCCGAATTCTTGAATCTGGATTCTGTGGCCCTCCTGCCTCCCCCACAGCCTCTACACAGGGATCTTCTCCCTCACCCTGGATCCAGGAAACCCGCAAGAGGCTCAGGCTGCATCCCAGAGACAGCCCTAGGATGAGCGGCAGCACTGGTCGCAGTAGAGCCAACAGGGAGCTCAGTCGCATGGTGGTAGGCCCTGACATGTGGGTGCCCCAGGGGGCACAACCTCAAGGATCAATGGATTGATAGGCGTCAGGCCAGTAGCAGGCCTGCAGTTCTAACCAGGGAATCTGGGGTCACTGAGATCAATAACAGAGCAAGGTGTGTTGGCTTCCAGGCCTAGCATCGCCAGGCAGATCAACTGTCCTGTTGTCACAGCCCTCCCTGCCTGGTCTTCAATTGCCAAGGTGCCGATCTAACCTTCAGCCCACATAGTAATAAATACGAGAATCAATTTTACTCTCTATTGGGATTACAGCCTACCTTTCAGTAGAATGGGAGAAAACAAAACTCAATACTGCCAAACCTAACGCAAAAAGATTAAACACATCCGCAGACTGGACCTACAGATCCATCACATCAACACTCCCAACCAGAGGAGCCTGTGTCAGGCAGACCTGACACCATTCCTCACTCAGGCTACTGAAGGGCTTGCTGAGCACCGCTGCAGCCTGGCACAAGGCAGGGGGCAGTGATCAGGGCCTCTTCCTGCTCTGGGGCCCAGTGTCAAGGAAGCACAATGGTTACAGTAACCCCTCCTCCCAGTCAGGAGTGGTCAAGAGCCCCTCGCACAGAGCACACAAGTTCTGCCCACCCAGAAGAGGTGGACAGCTATGGTGACTCAGCACTGACAGCCTCTCAGAGCAGCGCCATGGCTGCTGGAGCCATCTTGCAGGGCATTCTGTCCCGAGTCCGGCTGCTGAGCGACTGTGCTGCCCACCCTCCTCTGAGAGGAGCCAGCAGGCAAACCACAGCAAACTTGCTGTGTACGAGCCCTTCGGTGTCTGGCTTGACCAGGGCCCCGGGGACCAAACAAGACAAACCAAAAGTAAGCCGTGAGGACAAGCGGCAGCTAGAGCCGACGCAGGACTTCTGTGAAGGCGAGCAGAAGCTGGGGGGCTTCAGATCCACCTCTCAGCGACCACCGACCAAGTCTAGCCCTAGAAAGAAGGCCCGAAGCGAGTCTCAGCCGTTCGTCTCCAAACTGAAAGAAATCGGCTTCGTCACGGAGCTGCAGAGGAGGGACAGGGGTCCAGCTCGGTTTGTTCTGCGGGCTGGGGCCGGGACAGGCGGCGGGGGGTCGGACTCAGGTCGCTGCCCGGAGAGGGGTGAACAGACCCCGTCCTCAGGCCCGTCGGCAGGGGCAAAGGCCGCACCAGTGACTTCCGAGGCAGCCCGCGCAGGACAACGACGAACGCCCAAGCGCACAGAGAGGAGGCCTGCAGCCGGGCCAGGGCCGGCGGGGACAAGAGGGACCCGGGCGTCCCGGCGCGGGGTGGGGGCGTGGGGCCGACAGGGGGAGAGGCGCCCCGCACGGGCCTCGCGGGGAGCAGGGACGGGAGAGAGGGAACAGACCCCAGTGGCCGCCGAGTCGCCGGCTCTACGGCGGCAGCTGCTGCCACCTCACAGCCCGGCCCGCGGCTTCCTCTTCCGCTGCTTGTCAGTCACCCGTCTCTATGGTGACCGCATCCGGCCGCTCGCTCCGCCCGACCTCTCTATGGTTGCTCCCACCCTCTTTTCTCGGGGGCCGAGATCTCACTCATAGATCATGGATGTGATTGGCTGCTGTGCAGGTGGATTCAGAGAAGGAAGTGGTTAGTCTTTCCATTGCCATGCCGAGCCATTACACAGCTGGAGTTCTGGAATCAGAAGATTTCAGCCTGAAATCCTGGCACTCTTACCAGCTACCAGCAGTGTTTTATTAACAGCTCTGTGCCTTAGTTTCCTAATCTGTAAAATGGTAATAACATCCACCTCAGAGTTTGTCGGGAGGGTTAAGTATGATGGCATAAATGCAAGAACATAAAAAATGTTATTATTCTCTGTAACCCATAACCTGTCTGTAATTACGCATTTTAAATGAGGCTGGGAGAGGGAGACACATTGTAGACAATGCTCCCAGGAGGCTCAGGCGCTTGGATGAGTAATTTTTATGTGATCCACAATCATATAATTCCTTTGCTTCATACAGAAGGGCTTGGCGGTTACTATAGTCTACATATTTTTTTACCTAAAACAATGCTTTTGCCCATAGTAGATGCTTAATATTTGGTAAATGTCGGGCCGGCCCGTGGCTCACTCGGGAGAGTGCGGTGCTGATAACACCAAGGCCCCGGGTTCGGATCCCATATAGGGATGGCCGGTTGGCTCATTGGGTGAGCGTGGTGCTGACAACACCAAGTTAAGGGTTAAGATCCCTTTACCGGTCATCTTTAAAATATATATATATATATATATGGTAAATGTGTTAAATAAATAATGCATACTCAGGTAAGGATTCTACGAGTAGCAAGAAAAGCAAGAAAAACATAGAACTCAATTGGCTAATTAATAATAATTAGCCACTTAACAAGAATTAATCTCTTTAATCTTTCTAACAACTATGTGAGGTATGTACTATCCTCATTCCCGTTTTACAGAGGAGAGTATGTACTTTGCCCAGGATCACACACCGTGAATGGTAGAGCTGGGGTTTGAATACAGTCTGCCGCAGGGTTCATGCTCTTTATGCAATGCCAAGTAAGGTCCCCACCTAGGAACTCCAGCTGCTCACAGAAGTCACTTTTTTAAAGGACATTTTTATCACCTGAATGCCATGGTCTGTTACTTTTCAAACGTTCCCACTTGGGGCTGGCCGGTTAGCTCACTCGGTAGAGTGTGGAGCTGGTAACGCCAAGGTCAAGAGTTCGGATCCCTGTACTAACCAGCCGCCAAAACAAACAAAAATGTTCCCTCTTCATTATGCGCTCCCTAAGGTCAGGGAGTGACTTGCCACCATTGCGACTCCAGCACATATCTCCGAGCCTGACATCTACACACTTAACTAGTGAAGGGTACCTTAGGAAAATACGTGTTCAAAGGCACGAAAGTGTGAAATAACGTGGCTTATCTTTGAACAATAAGTAGATAGATTCTATTGGAGCATCAAGTTTGAGGAGGAAAAACTAGTTCTGCTAAGGGGGAGGAGTGAGATCATTAAGTCATGGGACCGGGGACAAAAAGGTACCTCGTTTGGACAGTATGCTCAGAGGGAGTAACAGCTTCCTTTTGCTTCCCTCCTGTGTTATTGATGGGGAAACACCGCCGGATGAGGGCCTGGAGAAGTAAGGATCACAAAGGGCCTGGCTTGTAATTGAGACAACAAATTTGGAATTGACAATATAGGTGGGTAATGTGAAGTCTGTGAGATTTCAAACAGTGAGACTCAACGGAAAAGTAACGAGCAAGGTCACATGGCCAACTAATGATAAAGCTAAACTCAGCAAAGGGGTCTTTTTACTTTAGGGCTCTTCCCACCAATCTTACGTGGCTTCAATGGAAACCTAACAGTTCTGGACCGGGTAGGCTAAGCGGCCAAGGCTCAGGAACAACGTTTGATGAAAATTACGCTTTCACGAAACGAGGGCGCCTTTCTTTCGTGGTGGGATTCCGTTCGCATCATCTTTGCTGCCCAGCTGTCCGGGTCCTCGCTGCCCAGCCGCCTCACTCTTCCTCTTCCACCTCGCCCCCCCCCCCCATTGTTTCGACCCATTCCCGTGTGATGTATGCTGGGAAGTGTAGTCTCATGCCCTGCTGGCTAAGCGGGTTGCGCGACCTCAAAACTCTCTAACTCCACATAGCTCAATAGATTTTCGAGGGGTGGAGTAAAGCCTGGAAGGCCCAGCCCGCTTGTCCGAACAGCAATCTGGGATTTGTAGTTCCCAGCGCCTGATGCGGACCTGCTGGCAGAGAGCTCTTGGACTCTCATCCTGCCCCCTCCCCGAGCCTCGCGCATCCTGATGGCGTCACGCAGGCCCGCGAGGCCCCTGGGATACCTAGTAGTTCTAGAGGCGGGTCCTCCCCCTGGGCCGCCGCAACTCGAGAACTCCACCTCCCAGGAATCTGCGCGACGGCGCGCCGAGAGCCGCCCGAGGCCGTTGATTGGCTAGTGAGCCGGCCGCACGCGGAGGAGCCCAAGGAGCAGCTCTGTTGCGACAGAGGCCGAGTGGAGAGGCCCAGTGAGTTGGGGGAAGGGGCGCTGCGAGGGAGGGTGCCGGCCGGAGAAGGAGAGGGAGGACGAGAATAGGAAGGAGGGACGGGGTCGGGATGGAGGGGGCTGCGAGGGAGAAGAAAGCGCCGAGGAAGAGAAGCTGACGGGTGGGTGTGGGGGAGGTTCGGGGGGTGGCGAGCGTGGAGACTGAGGGGACTCACCGGGGGCTCACCGCACTCGTCCCGGGAAAAAGCTGGGCCGCACAGCTGGGTGTGTGGAGGGGGCGGCGGAGAGAAGGCCCGATTCGGATGCGAGGCGGAAGCCGGGAGAGTGAGGCGGCAGCCGGGAGAGTGAGGCGGCCGGTTGGAGTGGGGAGCGCCAAGTTGTGGGGAAACCGGAGACGGGAACCTCTGCCGAAGGGCAGAACCTGGTTCTTGACTGGAAGCCCTGGAAGAAGGAGCGTTTCCAAAGTGAGGCAGTCCGTGGGGATTGGTGGACAAAGCGTGAGGAAAGAGATGCTAAGATTAGAAGAGCAGCTGAGAGTCAGAATTGGTTTGAGAGACCCTGACAGTTGGCAGAGACCAAGCAGGGACAGAGCAGGACATCAGAGGCTTGATTTGAAAATTCCTGACAGGGATAGAGCGGGGCCCAGGCAGCCTTACCAGTAAGTTTAGAGTTTGGGGGTATTTGTTTGCCTTCCTTCAGGCTCCCTGAAAAAAACAGTAACATACCCCTGTGGTTATCATCATGCCCTCTGACCTGGCCAAGAAGAAGGCAGCTAAAAAGAAGGAAGCTGCCAAAGCTCGACAGCGGCCCAGAAAGGGACATGAAGAAAACGGAGATGCTGTTACAGAACCACAGGTGGCAGAGGAGAAAAATGAGGAGGCCAATGGCAGAGACACCACAGGTGAATTGAGGGAGGGCTGGGTTCCTTGGGAGAGTTGTTAAGACTTAATAAATGTCCCAATCAGAGTCAGAATCTTGGTTTCCACAGTAAACCAAACCAGCAGCTGGAGTTTGTGCCACCCTGTTATTAAACAAGGAAACTGAACACAGGTTCTCAGATACACAGCGGCAAGCAAATATGGGAATTGTTGAGCTGTCTTGCTGCCCTGTCTAGTGGGAAGGAGGTCAGTTCTCTGCCCCTTTCTCATTACCGTTTCTACACATGGTTGCCAGTGTGTCAGGTTATTTGCCATATTATAGCCTTGTCCTCATAGGGGCAGTGATTTTACCAACAAGAGAGTAACTTATAAATTGTTTTACGGCTTTTTCTGGGGAAAGAGCTGCCTTTCTGTTGTTTATATTTTTGTAAATGTTTATTGAGCACTTCTCAAGTGCTAGACATGGTGCTACACACTGAGGTGCTATAAAAAGTCTGCCCTCCAATAACTTACAGTCTGGATGAGGAGACATGGTAGCATGTGATAAAGAATATTCCAGGCCCTTGGCAGTCTAATCCCATCCTTCTTCCCTGCCTCTTGAAAACTCCCTAAACAGGCCCTGTGCTCCATCCATACTATTCATTGTCCTTTGAATAGTCACATTTCTTTTTACACACTAAGTTCTACAGTGTTTATGCTAACTACATACGATGATTCTT